TGATTGTTTGTTAGTCTCAAGTTCAGAGGCCGTTGGCGGAGCCCGCGGAGTCCTTGGAACATCATCGGGCTGCGTGCAGGGACCGGGGCTCTCGTTCTGTTTTGGTTTGGGTTTTTTTAAAACGAAATCTGAATACGTGTAAAAATTATAGTGGAACCAAGGTGGAAAAACGACTTTTTCAGTCCCTTTCCCATAGGATAATGACAGCGTGTGGTGCTGCTTTTTTCCCCTCCAGTGGGTGTGTGCCCTTCTAGGTGACCTTTTCACTCACAGGAGGGTTATCTAAAGACTTCTGCACTGCTGTTCCTGGACAGCTTGGTTTGGCTTTGTTTTACTTACGAGTCTCATGCTCCAGTCAGTTCCTATTTTTGCTGGGTGATTTTTGAGGTCGCTTAGGGTTTTTTCTGTGTGTCACTAACTTGTTTACTATTTAATTTTGGCATTCAGTGTTTTTTAGTCAAAATAGTGTCTTATGTTAGAATAAAAAAATTCGGCAAAAAAAAATTCAAACTGCAACTAACCACTTACCATCTTAATCAGCCTGTTCAGTTTTCATTCTTGCTTACTAGCTATTCAGTAAAGACTTTACTAATTTTGAGGACATGCAAATTCTCAATTTGTATTGTAAAGCAAAGTTATGGTTTTGTAAATCTAAAAAGGCCTTTAAAACCAACAACTTTTTGGTCTTTTATATCACAAAGAAAAGAAGGAAAATTAAACGCTGTTTGATTTTTGGTGGAGGGAAGGGTTATGCATTTATGCTTTTTTTTTTTTTTTTTTAATTCCCTCTCTCTTCCTTTAAAAGAAAAGACCTGGAGCACGTGTTGTGGTTTAGCCAGTGTGTAGCAGTAGGTACAAGTAGGAGTTTGTTTTCTCTGACTCCCGTGGTCACCAGATTTCTGAGATGAAGCATATCTGCAGATCACGTTACCTGAAATCTCAAATAAACTGGCCGAGCCCGAGTTGCAGTTCCCCTGCTCCAGAATGGAAATACTGTTTATTGTATGGAGGCTGGTGGCGTCACCGGGGCTGTCACTGCTAACGTTGTACAGGGTGATGGCAGCCGTGGCGGGTGCCAGGCTGTGCAGTGCAGGTGCTTTGCCCTGGGCTGGCTGGGCTGCTGTGGAGCCACACTGGGGCCGTGCCGGTGGCTCCTGCCCTTCCCCGGGGCAGCTGCCTGTTCCCAGCACCTCCTCCTCTCCTCCAGGGACGGTCACCGGTGCGCTGCGGGCGCCAGGCGGCGGCGAGCACGGGCAGGGGGTGGAAGCCACCTGCACTGGCAGCAGCAGGAGCCCAGCTCAGCTGCAGGTACTCCTGAAACTGCACCCCGAGGGTGAGCTTTGAAGGTACAGCTCGGGCACACCTGATGACTAGGTGTTGCCACAGGGCCTCGCCCGGACCTCTGCTGCTTTCTGTCAGGTCTGCCAGCGGCCCAGAGGAGCTCTGCACGGCCCAGAGGAGCTCTGTGATGCAGCAGTGGCAGCAAAACAGCTCTGCCAGAAAGCTGCGACCTGTTGCCAGAGCCATGGAGGAGGGGAGAGGGGTAAAATACATGGGGGTGTTGCAGTGGAGGAAGGGGGAGTTTGGCACAGCATCCAAGTAATTTGTGTAGGAGGGCTTACTGATGGAAGGTGTCAGGGCAAATGTTATACAGATCTTACTTACCAGCCTCTGAGTTGGGCTCTTAGGTTATTTCTGAGGAAGGTCTTGTCTAGTCAAGCCTACAGACAGCACGGGTTAAGGGGACAGAGGAACCTGATCTGGGAACCCAACAATTTAGAGATGTGTAGGTGCAGGTAATGCCCCCATCGGAGCTGTGTCACTGGTTGTAAAGCATTTCTAAAACCTGTTGACAGCATGATTTGGTTTTCCTTTCCATTTTTTTGAATGGGTAGACTCTGATTTAAGGTCTGCTTAGGGTCTGTCTGTGTTGACCCTTGCTCAGGCAAGCAATCCAGTATGTTTTGTGTTTTTCTGATGTAATAATTTCCAATAGTTGTGTCTGGGAAAACAAATTTGGTGCTTTGTAATGCAGAGTCTGTAGGCACGTGCAGGTACCTTTATACACATGGGAGGTGCAGCCAGGTATATCCTCCTGTTTGTGTTTTCCTCCTGTACACACCAAAGAGCTCAGCTTCAGGCACGGACTCCCCTCTGCCCTTCAGCTTTGGGGCTGAAATGTGGGGCAGGCAGCTGGAAGAGCTGACATTTTAAAGCTGCCAGAGTAAGATTTGAGAGAAGGCCGTAGGTGTGATAGAGTTACTGACAGTCTTATTACTTTGATGAGGCAAACCTACAGAAATAATTATCTGGATAGAAATTGCAGCATAGTGTATTGAAAAGCAGTAATTTCTGCACTGGAGGGTAATTATTTTTCCTTTCTATTCTCTTATTTGTGAATCTGAAGTATTTATCCTCTTGATTAGTTTTGGCTCCGTGGCATATTTTTTTTTAGTTTCCCATTCCTTTAACCTTCAGGGCATTTAAAAAAAACTTCTGACAACTAATTTCATGTTGTTCCAAGTGTAATGAAGACTTTGTTTCCTGCAGTGAGCAGTCTTAACCCCTTACTTCTAGTTAGTGATTGCATTATGTCGTGTCTCCCTAAGTCTTAACTTCTCACGCAGTGATAAAGATTTATTCTCAAGCCTTTTTTTACTTAGTTGCCTGGTTTTACCTTTCTGTGCAATATGCCAACGTCTTGCTTAGGATTTCAGACTAACTGCTTTGGAAAAGCTCCATTAGCTTTAGTGAAATGCGTCTGATTTAAATCAGTGGCACTAGAATTAACCCTGTAGGGTTTATGTTTATATCATTACATTTCCATTTCCTACTGCTGCTGCTTCATTTCTGCCCACTTTCTCAGGCTGAATAGTGTGGAATTAATTGCAGATAAAGTTCAGTGTCAGGGTTAGGGTGTTAGCAGCAGAGCTGGTGGCTGTGGTTGTTGTTGGCTTTGTTTTTTATCCAGCCTGCGTCATTGCAGGGTAGAATGGTTGTGAAATACATTGGCTGGAATATCAGCTACAGATCAGACCGGCTGTTTATGCCTGGTGAAAATCTCTCTGAGGCAATAGGTTATTGGATAGCGCGTTGCAACAGTGTTTTTCAGGCATCAAAGTGACAAGTGATCCTATTTCATACCAGTTAAAATTAAATATTTCATAGGGTAAATGAGCCACACTAAGAATCCACCTTGTAAATACATGCAAAAAATTTCTGTGGAAAACGACAGTTTAAGAAGCTCTTTTCTCAACGAGGAAATGTAGAGCACACATTCTTTCCTTGCTCCCTGTTAGGACGGTGCCTTTTAAAGGTGCTGTGTAAAAAGCCTGTTTAGAAGAAGTGTGCTGGTTGTGTTCTATATTCAGCGATGACGTGGCCAGGCTGGGATTGGGCAATGGCAGCTCTAGAGATACTCACACGTCAGGAGATGGAATTGCTGTGAGGAGCTGATGTGTGCTGAATGGGTAAGCAGGGAATGAGGGAAATGGAATTTCATGCTTTCTTGGAAGCATGAAAAAAATCTCCATAAACTGGAAAATAACGCAACGTGTTCCTTTTAGACATCCAAATAAATATTAGAAGCATTTGGAATGATACCTGTGTCAGACCCAGAGGGTGTGTTGCCCAGCCTCGTGCTGCCCTGGTGTGTTTTGGTGGACGTTCATCGAGTTCATTTGAAGGCTCAAGAGAGGCAGAAAGCCCTGCTGCTGCCAGGGTGGTTGAGCACAGTCCTCTGATGCACCCTGTCTGCAAAATCGGCTGCATCTGCTTCACCTACAGACTGTAATACTGGCATGTCCTAACGTTTGAGTATTTGGGTTTTGCAGTTTTAGTGCTCTGACAACGTGAGTGTGTGTTTGGGTGCTGGGGAGAAGATGATACATTTACGTATTTGAAACTGGAAAGTGTTTGAACAAAAATTCTTGCTGATAACTATTTGCTTGTAGTACTTGGGGAGACATAAAACCTCCCTCTCCTGAGTAAGTTGCTCTTGGTTCTTATTTATGTTAGTTTTACACAATTGTATTTGTTCTGGTTTGTGTGTTGGCAGCTTACGGTCATGTTTAATTGAATCTTAGGTTATCGGTGAGCTGATTTTTAGATGCCAGGAATGAACAGATAAAAACCTACAGTCAAGGTTATTCATTGAGATAATGGACTGTTATTAAACACTCGTATTGTAAGACTATGTTATGATGGGCTTCATAGCGAAAATGGAGTGATTTCTTAACCGAATTTTTGCTTTTAAAAGTTCAGTCTTTTCTTTTCCTTCCCTTTTTGACTGGTGCTGTTACAGTAGTACTCAGAGCTCCAGCCGAAGTGCAGCTTACACTGAACAAAGAGAAAAGCCCAAGCTCTGGATCTTTATCCAGGAAATCTCTGGCTTCTGCCAGTCGGGTGATTTGCTGGAGCTGAGATCTCTGTTCTTATTCCCTCGGGCGCTGAGGCAGTGCCAGTGGTGCTGGGGCACCCCGGATGGGGCACGCAGGGCACCCTTCTGGGGGTGTCTGGTGTTGGGGCGTGGCCGGGGAGGCTGCGCGGGGGCGCGGTGATCTGCCCCGTGGCACGGCCTCCCCTCCAGCAAAGGGCAGAGATGTGCCAGTCCTCACCCACCAGCCACCGTGCCTGGTTCTCCTGGGGAGATGGAGAGTATAGC